ATTTTATTGCAAAGGCTCCTTTTTTATTTTTTATTTTTTTGTGAAATGCAACAGAAGATTTCATCAAGGGAGGCATATATTTTGAGAAAACGTGTTCTGGTTTTTAAAAATACTTGTGTACAATACCACAGTTGTTATTAAACATATACCCTATATAAATGTGATGGAAGATGAGGCTCAGCCATTAAAAACAAGTTTCAGGAACAAACTACAATCTATTTACACAAAAATAAAGCACGTAGACATCTAATTTTCACAGCCCAGGGGAATTTGATGTTGGATAACTGAACAGACCTGCCAGTGTTTATAATTTCCATCTATAGATTGAAAGGTATATAAATTATTTCAGTAAAAATCCACTATATCAGGGGCACAAATGTTGAATATGAAAGAGGAGAATGTTTTTCCAGTTTTCCGGAGGAGAAGACTTGGGTGATCCCAGAAGCTTGAGAAGGAGAGAAACTGCAATTCCAACAACTCTCTTAGTGGAAAGGGGCAGCAAACCTGAACTCTTGGAAGCAGCAGAGGGAGGGAGCATGTATCTCTGAAAAGCAACCTAGTGTCCTTTCTGGAATTGAAGCCTGGGGCCTCTGAACCCTTTATATGCAAGAATGGGACTATGTTGACCATAAGACATGAAATATCTGGATGAGACATTTAAATAAGGTAGCGGTAACAGGAGTCGTAGAGTGATAGTAATATTAATAATAAACATTATTAAGCAATGCACTGAAGACCATATAAACATCGTCTTACTTCTTAGCATAATCCTATGAGACAGATATTATCTTCATTTGACAGATAGGAAACTAAGTCTTTCAGAGTATAACTGAATTCAATTTCCAACATTACATAGCTAGTAAGTGGTGGATCATGGATTTGGGCCTGTGCTGTCTTGAACCAAAATTCATACTCTTTATACATGGTACTGCTCATTATTGCATTCATTTATTTCACTCAGTCAACAAATAAAACTGATTACTTATCTACAACTTTTCTGTTTGTTTCTGTCATAGAGAGGCAGTAAGAGGAGAGTTTTTGGGGAAAATGGAACTATAGTTACGAAGTTCCTAAGAAGAGCTAAAAAGGGAGTTGCTGATTAAATTCACGCTACCCTCCTGAGGGATGGGTTTGCACTCACTTGACCTCTCCTCCTCCTCCCTGCACCACTCATTGTCCTCATCAGCCACATGATCTAACTGTCTGCAATATTTCCCATCATATTAGTCAACTGCAGTTTGCTTATGTTTCCTGCATGGGATCAATGAAGATATTCAAAGATTATCATTCTGATATTCCTCTAGGAAATAAATGTTCAAACAGATATGTACATGGTGGTGACGTTATGAACGCACAATTGATGTACTTCTGGATCTTTGATCAACTAATTTAGGAAGGACATGGTAAACTGTGAAAGTAATGGCAGGGATGGAAGAGAAAGGAAGAAACTAGTATATTTCGAAAGTTTCTTGTACTCTAAGAAAAGTGGTGTCTCACACTTCATATAATCTAAGCATAATTCTAGGCTCTAGATAACAATATCATCTTTGGTTTCAGAGTTAATGGAGGCTCAGAGAATAATGTGCTTAGGTTCACACATCCAGTAAGTGAAGCAGCCTGGGTACAAAGCTAAGTCTGTCTGACTCCAAAGCAGTCTTTCCACCACACGAAAGAACATGTATGTGTTCCAGAGGAGTTGTACTCAAGTTTACAGAATATCAGGAAAGAGTCATGGAGAGCATAAAACATTAGGGGTCTATTTCTAAGTTTAAAAATAATAGTAAAGTCTAGGGGATTTTAAGAAGAACCCACAGGAGACCAGGAATTTGTCTTCAACCAGACGAGAGGCCAAGAGGCCAATGACACTTTGAGTTACATAATCATTATCATTGTTTGTGATAATGATAAATATAGATGACTCTCAAGGGTAACTTCCCACTTTCCTGTTCTGAGATAAAGGAATCCCTCAGCCATATAGTTAGACAGTGATGTCACTTCTTTATAATATAATGCTTTAAGTTTTATCTGCATCCTAGACAAAACACAATCCAAAACCACAGGATCCAGGCAAGGCATGGGGTATTATTGGTCTGGATAATCCTAAGTGTTAGAAAACATGAAGCATGAAGCTAATGGCATACAAAGAGGAAATATTTAATTTTTAAAGCAAAGCCAAATCCCAGCCAACTGCTAGGAAGATGGGCAAATAACACATATTAGAGATAGTCTACCAGAGAGGCAATGTTTAACAGTGAGTAAGAGAGAAAAGACTTGAGTAAAATGCCCTGAGCCTGTTGAACAGTTGCTCTCAACAAAGCTAACACATGCATCTCAGCGTATTTTCCCAGAACGGTCATTTTTGTTTGCTCGTCCCCAGTTGCGACAGGAAAAATGTCAAGACACTCTGTTCCTGAGCATAGGCATAGGAGTTCTTTACAGCAGTTGTCCTCAAATGCGTCATCATGACTCACCAGTTAAAATCAATTGTCATGTGAATCACAAATAATATCGTATAACTAAAAACAAAGTACTGTTTGTTAATAATTGTTTAAACAAACTTTTTATTGATGTATAATGTACACAAAAATGTGCACAACCAAAAAAGCTGTACAGTATGATGATTTTCCAAAGCAAATACACCCGTGAAACCAATATCCAAGTCAAGAAATGAAACATTATCAAAACTCTCACTATGCCTCCTCTCAATTACTATTTTCCTCATGGTAACCACTTTCTTGATTTCTAACACAGTGGATTGATTGTCTTTAAACTTTATGCAAATGAAACCATATGAAATGTACTATTTTGTGTCTGCCTTTTTTCAGTCAACCTCATGTTTCAGGGTGACATGAATCTATTGAGTATAGACACAGTTTTCTCTTCCTTATTGCTATTTGATCTTCTATCATATGATTACACCACATTTATTTATTTATTACATTATTAATGAACATTTTAACATGAACATCTTTTTAAAGACTTTTAATACATAGAGTGCTGTAGTATGCATCCTTCTACATGACTTTTAATATACCTTTAGAGAGGAATTGCTGAGTTCTAAGATTTACTATGTTCCACTTTAAGCAATACTACCAAATAGTTCTGCAAAATGGCGTTGTACCAATTGCCACTCCACTCAGCAGTCTTTGAAAGTTCCAGGTGTTCCACATTGCCACTGATACTTGGTGTTGCTCATTATTTCAGTCTCATACTTTCTGGCTAGCATTACCAGATGTAAAATGCAGGCTGCCTACTTACATGAGAAATATTTGGGATATACTTATGCTAAAAATTATTCATTTTATATCTAAAATTCAAATATATTTAGGAGTTCTATATTTTTCTTTGCTAAATTTGGCAACTCCATTCTGGTACATTTGCAGTGGTGTTGCTCACTGTGGTTTTCGTCTGCATTTCCCTGATGATTAATAGGCTGAACATCTTTCCATAAGTATTTTGATCATTTAGATGTCTTCTTTTGTGATCTTCTTGTTCAAGTCTTTGTCTGTTTTCTTGTTAGAGGTGTTAGCTTTTGCTTATTTATTTTTAGAAGTTCTTTCAATATTCTTTATTTCTATTCTTTGTCAAATCAATAAGCTGCGAATATTTTCTCCCAATATGTCTCTTATCTGTCTAAGCCCATGATGATATCTTTTGATAAACAATTTTTAGTTTTATTCCAGTCCAATTTTTTAACATTTTCCTTTGCAGATAGGGATTGCATGCCTGGTTTAAGAATTATTTTCTCTCCTAGAAACAAATAATTCTGTTTTGAACTGGGCAGCAGAAGGCTTTGGAAGGAGGAACTCTCGTTGGGGGTTGGGGGAGGAAATGTAACTAACAGATAATTCAATGTGTTTGAACTTTCAGTATATTTATTGATAAGTATTTGACACATCAGAAGGAACATTAAAGAAAATAATAGAGATTGATATAGGAACATTTAAGAAAATATTAGAGATTGGTATGTTGACAACTAAACACCAGATGAAGTGAGTAATTATTAACTCCAGAATATACAAAATGTTGTATGAGAATGGAAAACTAACATGAAGGTCTATATAACAGGTCTAAACTGTTAATATCACAAGATGGAGTCTCTCTCTCTCTACATACACACACATACACACACACACACACACGATAAATCAAGTAATAATAGTAGTAGCATAACATATATGAATACAAAAGGAAATGTCTTAAAAATAGCTAAAAGATTTGACACTATGTTCCTCTGAGGAAGGACTTGGGTGCAGAGAATATTAGGGCAAGAGATTATACTTTATGATTCTTCAGTTTTAAATTACTCCCATATGTCACATTGACTAAATGAGGTTAATTTAATATTTAAAAGAGAAAGCCCTAGTGGTTCTCAAAATTTATATAGCATTTCTTATTTTTAAAAAGCTTTTAAACATAATCTTACCTATTTCCTTTTCCTTAAAGACTACTGCACAGCATTATACCTGTTCACCTTGATTAAACAAAACTTTTTTCTAGATTTTAAATTAAATATTTTGCAGGTGTGTTCCTTGTGCTATATTATTGATAAAATGTATATCTAATATTTGAGTTGTATTAGTATTTTCATACTTCTATGAGGAAATACTGGAGACTGGGTAATTTATAAAGAAAAAGAAGTTTAATGGACTCACAGTTCCACATGGCTGGGGAGACCTCACAATCATGGCAGAAGGTGAAGGAGGAGCAAAGGCACATCTTACATGGTGGCAGGCAAGAGAGTGTGTGCAGGGGAACTGTCCTTTATAAAGTCATCAGATCTTGTAGGACTTATTCACTATCACAAAACCAGCATGGGAAAACCTGCCCCCATGATTCAATTACCTCCCACTGGGTCCCTCCCATGACCCATGGGGATTATCGAAGTTGCAATTTAAGATACGATTGGGTGTGGACACAGCCAAGCCAATCAATAGTTCTTCAAATGTATGTTAGATGTGTTAGTTTGTTTTTGCATTACAATAAGGAAATACCTGAGGCTGGGTAATGTTTAAAGAAAACAGATTTATTCATCTTACTGTTCTGTATGTCACCTGTACCTGTCAGGCTTCTGGTGAAACCTCAGGAATCTCACAATCATAGAAGAAGGCAAAAGGGGCATAGGTGCATCACATGGCTGGAGAGGAAATGAGAGAGAGAGAGAGAGAGGAAATGCCAGCCTCTTTTCAACAACCAGATCTCCTGTGAATTCACAGAATGAAAATCCATTTATTACCATGAATACAGCACCAAGCCATTCATGAGCAATCACCCCCATGAGTCAAGCACCTCCCACTGGGCCCCACCTCTGACATTGAGGATCGTATTTCGACATGAGATTTGGAGAGGACAAAACATCCAAACTATATAATTAGAATAGACTAGGGGTGGAGGGAAGACAGAATTTGGGAAGATTATCCCAATCTCCACCACTTTAAACTATCCCTCATCATCTTGTTTTAAATGCACCGTATCATGTGTAAATCAGAATATATCTTTCTTAAGAGAAATAAATTGAAAAGTAATAGTATCTGAAAACTTCCAGGAGATAGGGACATTATTTATTGTGGGGTAATTAAATCTTTTTTCAGCTAAATGCCTAAGAGAGAAAACATAATTGAGATCAAAGCATGAAACAGTCTAAAGCAGAAAAAAGCTTATACCCTTTGCCTTGAATAGTTTGGCACAATAGCTATTCCAACATTTCCTCAGTGAATTTAAAAATATTGTTTATTGTTCTTCAAAGTATATTTGAAAAAAAAATTCTTTAAAAAAGGAGTTTGATCTTGTAAAACATAAAGCCAATATAAAGCAAATCATTGCTATTCAATGCTAAGTAGCATTCAATGGTCTGAGGAATTATTTTCACGTAGCATTCACAACTCATGTTGTTTGACTTGGCTGCGTTTCTAGAGTTCCTTGGATTTTACATGGAGGTGCCACAAATCTACTAATTGTGCTATATGTCCTTCAGTGCTATGCAGCATAGTGTTGTCTGTGGTCAGTTCAGTTAGCTGTGGGCTAACTCTAGTAAAAACTCCACCAGAAGAGAAAACATAAACTCTGATCAAATTTATAATGTATCTGCAAAAGTGCTGCAATGTCTGTTTCCATCCAGTGACAGGGAATCCACAAACACAAGTTAGAATGCATAGCTACACATTAACTGCCAGAGAATTTCCTTTGATCTGGAATGTCCATTGCATTCTTAATTTTAGGAATGCCAGGTGTGTGGATTTCTGAACAAAAGCCGGTATCTCTTATTCCACAGGAATTTGACCATCTCCACCTCCCTTTGACTTACTTCGTGTTGTGAACACCACTCTTCTTTCCTTGATCACACCCTGTTGTTTCATTTGCTCTCCATACGCTTATCAGTTGTTTGGAATCTAACGTGTCCAGGAAGCAACATTTGCTCCAAATATGAGTCTGTAGATAAATAAATAGTATGTTTCCCACATATTTATATATGTATATTACTACACTAAATGTATAAATATCTTGTTATAATTCATAAAATCCTGGTTCATTTAAAATGACTTTTGGATTCACAGTAGAAAATTGTCATAATTTGTTTATTTTTTAAGCAATTGATTCTACACTGTTTTGTATACTTCAAAAGCATCTGAAACATAATATTACTATTTTTAGATGGAGTCACCACAACAACAATATGACTGCTTAAATGTAATGTGGAAAAGTTTAAAGTAATATTTGGAAGCATGTAATCAAGAGAAAAAAAGATTATTTATTACTTATAATGATTGTATTAGTCTCAGATAGAAATATATTTGATTTTGTATTTTAGTCTCACTTTGATGAAAGTTTCAACAAGTATCCTATGGCTCTGAGCATGAACCCACACTAAACTAGTCAACCTAGCTTGACTTTTATCCAAAATACTGAGGGGGGAAAAATAAGCATTTAATTACTCATTACGTTAATACACATCTCCATACTCTTCAATCTCACAACAACTGTTTATAACACAAGCAGAACTGTTCTTTGAATCCAAATAATTCCACCAGCCATATCAGAAAATTTGGATCAAAAATTGGAATTTTGCCAAGTAGAGAGTAATTTTTGTAAACTACATCTTAAATATAAATAAATATGCAACTTAGTAAAATGTAATAAAACATTCCAATAATCAGGATTTGGTTCAGTGATACTTCAGTGAGTTCCAAAAGTAAATCCAGATTTTTGTATTTGAGAAAAAAAGATAGTGAATAGCATATGCTATCCTGGGTATGAAGATACGACCATTCGAAAGGCTAGAATCAAGAATGTTGAGAAGGTTAATGAGGGCAGGCAATATGCTTGCAAGGAAGATGGATTTGGTAAATTTACCTCCACTGCTTAGACCAGGAAAAGAAGTTCTAAGATCTCGTGGAGATTTGACGAAGCATTGTATTTGAAAGTACCTGAGTAGGCCAGGCACGGTGGCTCACGCCTGTAATCCCAGCCCTTTGGGAGGCCAACATGTGTGGATCACCTGAGGTCAAGAGTTCGAGACCAGCCTGGCCAAAATAGTGAAACCCCGTCTCTACTAAAAATACAAAAATTAGCCAGGCATGGTGGCACATGCCTGTAATCCCAGCTTAATCCCAGCTACTCGGGAGTCTGAAGCAGGAGAATCACTTGAATTGGAGGCAGAGGTTGCAGTGAGGCGAGATCGATCCTGCCATTGCACTCCATCCTGGGTGACAGAGCAAGACTCTGTCTCAAAAAATAATAATAATAATAATTAAAAAAAAATAAAGTACCTGAATAAAGAGAAGAATTAGGTCAGATCAGAAATATCCTTTCACCTTCAAGGGATATAAGCAATGCTGATATGGTGGGGAAAGAGTTCTTTTAAATTCAGTGAGGAACCTGCTCAGCAAAAATAAATAAATAAAAGTCCAAAGTTAGAGAAGGACAGATAATCAATGACTGAAATAGAAAGGGAGAGGATGTTTATTAAGGAATAAATATTTAATTAGAAAGAACGGTTTGATTTGAAACAATAGAAATGAACTTTGAATCATAAAAGGGAGAAGATAAACATGACTTGAAATTGACCAAGGCTGGATTTTATCATCTCTAACCTTGACTCAATTGTCTACCTTGTCAGTGATCTCTGTACAATCCTCACTATCTGTGGTAAAACAGACTGAACTGCATTATAGATGTTTAACAAAATGTTGGTGGATGGGGCAGGGTTTTTTTTAAAGAGACACAAAGGAATTCAGGAAACCATTAAGAAGCCCACAAGCCCGGTGCGATGGCTCATTCCTGTAATCCCAGCACATTGGGAGGTCAAGGCGGGCAGATCCCCTGAGGTCAGGAGTTTGAGACCAGCCTCGCCAACATGGTGAAACCCTGTTCCTACTACAGATACAGTAGCTGGGCGTGGTGGCAGGCACCTGTAATCCCAGCTACTCCAGAAACTGAGGCAGGAGAATCACTTGAACCCAAGAGGCAGAGGCTGCAGTGAGCCAAGATCATGCCAATGCACTCCAGCCTGGGTGTTCGAGCAAGATCGATCAAAAAAAAAAAAAAAAAGAAGCTCACCCCTCACTCCCCAACACTCACTTAGGTTGTGGAAAAGGTAGAAAGTAAGTTAAATAGCAGAGTGTATGTTGCCCTGTACACTAGAAAATCTAAGAAGGAAAAGCAAATGAATTAATGATATAAAGAGAGTTAATCAGAAGATATAATGTAATAGAAAACCACTATAACTGTTTAATAAAGAACATGATAGTGTGGCATGAGGATTAGTCCATTCTCACATTGCTATAAGAAAGACCCGATACTGTGGAATTTCTGAGGAAAAGAAGTTTAATTGGATCTGCAGGCTGTATTAGTAGGTGCCAACATGACTCATCTTCTGGTGAGGCTTCAGGGAACTTTTATTCGTGGTGGAAGATGAAGCCGTGTCAGGCACTTCACATGGAAAAAGCAGGAGCAAGAGAGTGAGAGTGGAGGTGCTACACACTTTTAAATGACCAGATCTCACCAGAACTCACACACTATCTCAAGGACAGTACCAAGAGGAGAGGATGTTTATTAAGGAATAAATATTTAATTAGAAAGAATGGTTTTCTTTGAAACAGTAGAAATGAACTGTGAAACATAAAAGGGAGAAGAAAAATATGTCTTGGAATTGAGAAGGCTGGATTTTACCAATTCTATCCTTGACTCGATTGTTGTCTAGCTTGTCAATGATCTCTGTACAATCCTCACTATCTGTGGTAAAATAGACGGACCTGCATTATAGATGTTATATTATTATATAACATTATAGAGCAAGTTAAACAAAACATTCATGAGAATTCTGCCCCCATGACCCAATCACCTCCCACCAGACCCCACCTCCAACACTGGGGATCACAATTCAATGTGAGACTTGGGTGGGAACACAATTCAGCCTGTATCATCAAATGTGGGGAAAAAATGCATTAGTAAGTGTTGGGGGCCTAGTCTCGTCCCTCTTCTCTCTCGATTCACAGGTGTAAGCATATGTCAAAATATCAAATTGTACACTTTAAATATGGGCAGTGTACTGGATGTCAATTGCATTTCAATAAAGCCATTAAACAAATAGGTAGCACCCAAAGAAAGCTCTCCAGATTATTTTTGAAAGGCTGGGGAGAGAAAAAAGTCATAATAAAATAATCCTACTTCTATATTCCTGTGGGCGATGTAGGAGCAAATACAGATTAAAAATAAGAATTATCATTTTACCAGGCAAGAGACTTCTCCCCTGCTTCCTTTTATTTCAAAATTTCTTTCTCTGTCCTTTTCAAATGTATATAGATCTTAATAATGGTGAAATAAACCTCCGCCAGTCTCACTATTCAAGAATGTTTCCTGAAGTACCTGTAAGTCTTTTTCAAAAAATTGTTTACCAGTTTATTATAAAGGATATTACAAAGGATACAGGTACATCGGGCAAGGTATGGGGGAAGGGATGTGGAGCTTCCAAGTCCTCCCCTGGTGGTCAGCCCTCCAGGACCCTCCCCATGTTCAGCCATCCAGAAGGTTTTGAATCCCGTTCTCTTGGGTCTTTTCAGGAGACTTCATCAGGTAGCCATCTTTTTGAAAGGCAAACATGAAGAGAGATAGTGACCCTACCTTTCAGTTAGTGTGGGAGAGAAAGAGCTTAACATCTGTGGGCATCTTGTTCCAATTTGCAATGAGAAGTTTGTTACTCCACCTGATACAGTCACAGGGAGTCTCCCCAATTATCACGATAAAATTAAGATAAACTAATGTGACAAAAGGTATTGCAAATTCCTCTTACTTGAGGACTAATGATTGTCTGTCTTGAGTGCATGTATGTAATAAGTCTATCTGCTTGGACCTATAAGGGGTGAAATTCCTTTCTGTCTTTTCAATGTGATTAGCATCACATCCTGGTTTAATGCTTTTTTAAATAATAAAACTGGTTTATTTCTCTAGTATCTTTGTTGAGAAGTGTTCTGGTTTGGGGAAAGATTTAGTTTCCAACTATATTTCTCCAACAGTGGATGCATTCACACTTTTAAGTTTGAATTTTTGTTTTTTCTTTTGAGACAGGGTCTTGCTCTGTCACCCAGGCTGGAGTGCAGTGGCATGATCTCAGCTCATTGCAGCCTGGACCTCCGGGGCTCAAGTGATCCTCTTACCTCAACCTCCTGATGAGCTGAGACCACAGGCATGTGCCTCCCTACCAAGTTAATTTTTAAAAATTTTTTGTAGCGACAGTGTTTCACCATGTTAGCCAGGGTGGTCTCAAACTCCTGAGCTTAAGCAATCCACCTGTCTCAGCCTCCCAAAGTGCTGGGATTACAGGCGTGAGCCACCACACCCAGCCTTACATTTGAACTTTTAAGTTTAACGTTTAATGGGGATAAAAGCAAACTTAGTCATTTACTTGAGGCTTTGTTTTTCCAAAGTTAAAATTATAAAACAAAGTATTATATTATTTTCCCATAGGGCACAATTGCCAAAGATGAGTCAGGGCTGTTTTAAAAGGGTGGTGGTAGCCTGGAAAATATGTAAATGTATCCCCTTTACCAGTTAGTTGAATTCCTTTCTAATCACTAGATTCATAGAATACTGTTATCTGACTTCAGTAGATTCCCTACCAATGTTTATTCTTGAAATATAAATATTAATATTTAGTGAAAAGAAAATACTGTAGAGAAGTTGAGTTTATTTTTAGTGCATTTAATCTTCCTACCTCATTTTCTATAGAAGAAATGCAATGCTGTATTGAACCAGGTCTTTTGAATAATTATGATTAGAATGATTACTGTTAATATTATACTTCGAAAATTTTCTTGATTTTATATAAACTCCGATGTGTCTAATGTATCTGATTTCAATTCCAATTAAATTTTGCCTTAGAGAAGACATTGGGAAATTAATAAATCCAGAGTATCAGACCTCATATTCCTATT